AAGCACTCCAATCATCTTTTCTAATACTGTTCTTTGTGAGTAGCCATGAGGCTTGAATTTCACTCTTTTTCATCTGTGAAGTGAAGTTCCCAGTGTACACAAGCTTTGGTTTGAAGAAACTCCCAAATAATATGTGTGATTGATATTGTGTTGTGTAGTGTTGCACTTGAATTTTAGAAAGGACAAAGCTCCCTTAAAAAAAGACCCATTTAAGTCTTAAAGTCTCTTCTGTCTTTAGGGATTTGTGCTGTCATTCCAGAACTAATTTTGTTAATATATCTGGCTTTTATCCTTTGACAGTGGACTTAACAAGTGTCCTAAAAAGTCATCTAATATTAAGGATTTGTTTGTTACTTAATTTTGCCCTGTATTTGTTTTTTATTTACATTATTGTTTTTTTTCTGTATTATCATTATTTTATCATCACTTTCACTATATTGTTATGAAGAAAGGTGTCAAACAGTTGTTACTGATGTGAATCCAATTTAATTAAGGAAATTTATTGGATGTTATAAGAGATTCTTTCCATAATTTGGCTCAGGTATGAACTGATTCCTTCAAAACTGTAATTGTGTGACAGAATAGCAAATGAAGAATGCATTTATCCTTATTGCTCTTTTTATTTGAAAGATGTCACAAAACTATAAATAAAGGGGAATAATGTTTCAGCTGTTTATTTCATATATTTTTGTCTTTTTTTTATTTCACTTATTTATGTGTGTGTGTCATTTAACATTTTATAATCTCACACAGAAAGGAGGTTTACACAAGAAAGTATTTTAAGTAGCTGGAATCACTTAAATGATAAGTAGTTTACAGTGTGGTGATAAAGTCTTAGTAGTAGTCTTTGTAAGGAATATTTGCTTATGAACCCCCACCATTTGGAGGTTGAGACTGTGGGCAGAGGTGATGAACTTGCTGTCATGAACATTTCAGTTGAAGGCCAAGGTGATGAGTGCCCAAAACTCTTGGAGGGTAATTAGATTCATTTGGTATTTAGGAGGGGACTTTTCCATTATTTCCATCAATAAACGAGCAAGGAATTTAATGTCTGTGAGCCATGACTGGAAGAGCACCGCGCCAGGGAGGATGCTATTTCCATGCTCAGGATCCTTTTCCTGCCTGACACTGCAGGATGTATTACGGAAAATGGGATATTAAGAAAAAAAAAAAAATGTTACTTATTGTTATTATTATTGCATTGAGTTTTAGACTACCTAGAGAGGGAAAGGAAAAGTCTGTTACCAATCTGGATAAAGCAAATCAAAGAAAATGTATAAATGGAAATGCTAAAAAGCTGAAAATGTTTATGCTGAAAAAGACAAAATAACGCGAAGGCATGGAGTAGTAGTTTCCAATTAAGACCCCCACCCCATCCCTTGCTTGTTGTTGCTGGGGGGGGGGGGTTAAGAGGCTGAGACTGAGGCCCATTGTGGGGACCTCAGCTCTTGCCTCAACTAATTTTGCAGGGTCTTTTCTTCTCCCTCTTTCCTTTTCCTTCTCTTCTTCATCCCCTTTGTCTACCTTCTCATCCAAATTGTGAACTCATATTTACCCCACAATACTTTATCATAATGTTGTGTAACCTTTGATGTCTGGCACATTTGTTTGTATTGACCTTGACCATTCTGGAAATCCACAAACAACACCTTACTGGACCAAAAAACTTTCTTACATAATTTTGCAAGGTCTTTTCTTCCTCCCCTTGATTTGTCCTAATTGTTAACTCATTTTTGCCACAATACTTTACCATAATGATCCCACCTCACTTAACTCCTTCCCCTTCTAACTACTTTTACCCTATACTATAACCCATCAGCTCCCTCTCTCTACCCTTTTCACTACCATACTACCCTCTAGTACTGTTCGACCTGTAACTTTACCTTAATCATCAATTCATTCCTAACCCTTTTTGCTACTATACTTTACTGTAGTGCTATATGACCTTTGATGTTATATAGCCATGCCCCCAAGGCTCATGCTAGCACTATATTTTGAATATGCTAATGACCTTAGATGTTGACATGGCAGAAAATTTTCAATAAATAAATAAATACCCAATTAAGATGATGATTGTACAATTGGAAATAATAATATCCACTAAAAATTCTCATCCATTTCAGACAGAGAAAGCACAAGTTCCTCACACTGTTCTGTATGGTGGTTTCACAATCCAAGGTGCTCAGTCCATCTTTAGCGCTTCATAACAGGCAAAAGAATTTGACTGGATGGGGTAGGAGTGAATATGTCAGGAGTAGGAGAGAGATACTGAGGGAGATGGAGAACCATCTCGAGCAGAAAGGGGTGGGGCAGGGCGAAGGACAGCACTAGATTAGGGAGCAAAAGAAAAGCCTTGTCAGTGCTTCCTGAGGCCAACTTTGAATCTGAGATCTGCTACTTCAGACTTGAACTTGTAGATAGGGCAGCCCCTATAAAATACATGATGGGGGGCCACCACAATTGGCATATGTGAGTGATTATGCAGGGGAGTTTGAATGATCATGTTGAGGTTAGGCACATAGAGGGTAGTGGGGTATGGAGCTAGAGTTTGGCAGCATAGCCAAAATGTCAGCATTTCTGACACTGACGTGAGGGGTCAAATTGGTCAGATTGGGCAGGTGATCAATGTCTATTTTAAGCTAATTTTGACAATATTGGTGTAGGACTTTCGGCATCCTGTGAGGGGAATAGTGTAGCACTGTGCTGATACTGTATCATAATCAATGAGGCAGGCAAGCAAGTTACTTTGTCTAACTAATTCTTGACCTAAACAGGGCTATCAGCCGAGTAGACAGTTCCAGTGTAAGTATCAAGGGAGAAGTGAAGCTGGGTAGGTTTGCAAGTGAGGTTAGTCATGGTAGATAATCCATGAGCTTGGGACTCGGATGCAACTGTGACAAGGCGTGAAGTTGGAATAGCAGTGGAAGGAAACTTGTCCTATTTGTTTTTGGAAGCATTGTTGGAAGATGAGGATATTGATGGAGTAAGCTGCTGTAGGCGAATCACAAAAATTTGGTCCCACTTAGCTGGGCTAAAACGAGTTCTCAAAAGATATGTAGAGGTATAACTAGTTAGAGGATGGGGAAGGTAGGAAGAGTGGTGCTGAGTGAGGTAGTACTGTGTGGAGGTGGACAACAAAGATGAGTAGTAGTAATAAGGGATAAGGAGATGAAGTTGAGGCTGTTGGCAGTGAGGAAGGGATGTTATCTGAAGGTTAGATGATGACCTAGGAGGGTATAATTTGAAGTGGACTGAGCTGACAACAGGTATTGAGGAGGGGGAAGTTGCAGCAGTAGTGTTCAGTCATGAACAAATGAGAGCTAAGGATCGGCTAACTGGGAAAGTTGTCACTGAGGCTAGTTGATAAAGGAGTAAGCCTCAATGTCTCTAATAAGGATACATAATCATTATTAGTCATAGTAAGTCTGGAGTATGTGGGGAAGAGAAATAGTTTGCCCCATCCAGGTCCCTATGAGAGTTCAGGACCATTCAGATGTGTGGGATTTTGCAAGGATGTCAAAAGGGTATGGTAGGGATTAGCAAAGGAGATTGGTCAGGAGGGAGAGAATCCATGGAAGGTGGTTGCTGTGACAAAAGGTCATATCCAGGGGGAAGCAAGAGGGATAATGGGAAAGGAGGGGATGACCCCGCTGGAGTAGAGGGGAATGGGATGTGTTGGGAGGAGTGGGGAGAATGGGTGTAGGGAGAACATGAGTAGGAGGATAATGGATGTCAGCAGTTACTTAGAGTGTAGAAGGAATGGGAGTAGAAAAATTGGAGGATGAATGTGGTGGTATATTATTGTCTAATTCATGAACAAAGTTGTGGGGATGGAAGAGGTGTAGTAGTGAATGTTGGGACAGGAAGAATGTTTTCTGGAGAATGAATATTGAATGGGATGGATGACTTGGACTAGGCTGATGTGATAGTAGGTACTGAGGAGGGACTAGCAGTAGCAGTGTTCCAAAGGAGAGCCTGGGATCAGGGAACCTGAATTGCAATCAGTGAGGTTATTTGATACAAGGATAAGCCTTAATGCCAAGTTAAGCTTTGGATATGTTGGAAAGAGAAATAGTCTACCCCTCAGTGTCCTTTTGAGGGGCTAGGTCTAAACAAAACCAGGGGAATACTGTACCCATGACACCCCCCCCCCCCGACTGTTCATGACTAGTACATCCGTCTTAGGCCTCAGCCCAAGATGGGTGATCCCTGGCATTGGGTCCCACAGTTTGTTTCCTAGCCCCCCCCCCCCCACACACACACACTGCAACAACTGGCATGGGATTGGGGGGTAGGGGTAATTGACAGAAGAAAGGGGAAGAGAATAGAAGGAAAAGGAAACGGGGAGAAGAACATACCTGTAAAATTGGTCGAGCTGAGAACTAAGGCCCAAGGTAGGGGAGATCCCCGACATTGGGCCTCAGTCTGTTTCCTAGGCAGGGAGATGGTGAAAAAACCCATTCAGAATGTAATTTTTTCTTCTCTTTCTGATGGGTATAATTTCTGAAGACTAAATTCCAGAGTAATATAAATTAAGCAAGTCATTAAAAAAAAATACATCCCACTTTAGAATGTTTAATTGAAATTAATAATCCAGATTTTAATTAAACTTGATTCAAAGCAGTTTTTACTCATTTTCAAGAATGACATGTAAAGTCTACAGTATGAGAAAACTTTGATACTTTTTTTCTCACATGATTTTTTATTTATCCAATTTTTTTTCCACTTGTATGAGTGGATGTGGGGCATGGTTTAAAAGTACTGGGTAATATGGTGCCTTTAAAGCAAGAATAAAATTAAACTATTCAGAAATAGCTTCATACACCTTGCAAGCACATCGTTCAAAGGAAGAGGAAACTTTGGAATCAATATTAGCATCAATGCAGTGATTGGGAAAACCAAACATAACTGTTTACATAAACAGAATCTTCTCTATGTTCAATTACCAAAACTATGTAGGGTAACAAACAAATTGTATTTTATCTATAATTTATTATTTACAAAATGATTTTCCACAATTTTCATCTTGTATGGAATGAAGGAGACATTTCGTAAAGGATATATCAACCATGTGAATGTTACTATTTTACAATTCAAGATGCATGTTATTGTAGATCGATAAGGTCTGCTTTATTCATCACGGCCACGGTAGTGCTTGATGTTTGCCAAGACCCAAGCGGGGATAGCGCATAGTCCGACAGCAATGCCAACACCATGAATAGCCTTCTCCTGTTGAAAGAAAAAGCTAAATTACTGGAAGAAATGCCTAATGAATAACTGCTACTGATAAGGAATTTTATCTCATGAATTGCTATAACAATAATGGTTTGGTTTTCTTTCCTTTATTTGAGGTGCTAGCCCAATGCCACTGGGGATGACCTATGCACATGTCATGCCCTTAATTAGTTTAGTTTGTAAATTGTTTTTATACAAAGATGGCTCTACAAATGCTTAGTCACCAATGAGTCAATCACAAGTCCAACCAATCTCATCTGTTTACCCTTTTCCTTGATTTTCAAAAATACTTTATATTGCTATTGGTATTATTAACATCAATAATTTATTAATAACATTAGAAAAAAAAAAAAAAAAAAAAAAAATTTACTCCAAAAACTCAAGGAAGGGGGAAATCAGGAGAGGGCACAGACTAGATACGGACTTCTTTATGACAAGTATTTGGTATCATATATGGTCTCTTGCAAGATGAGCACAGAAGAAAAACAGACAGCATCTTTCTGCAACTTTGGGCATCTTAACTGCTAATACATGGAATGATCATTCAACTTGCCCTCTCATTTTCCTAAATGTATAATGGGGGAAGAGCTATAAGTCAATCACTCAATAATAATGACGAAGAAGAAATAAAATAAAATGGTAACTATACTCTTCATACAATTATGCCCTAGTATGGTTTCTGAAACATGAGTACATTTTCCAGATACATCAATCATCAATCATAAAAACAAACAGCTATGAGAGTAAATAATAGTAAAAATCCTTTCTATTTTCTGCATCTATGGGTTTTGATTTTTCAAGTGTCAAGTCAACCAATCTACTTTTGCTTTTATGTATTAAGTCTTTCTAAAACCAGATACCTAATCTACTGTTGTATTAGAGCTCTGCTCAAATAAGAATTATCTTTAATACCATCAAGTGAGTTTATATAAGAAACATTCTTGACCCATTCATGGCAGGATTTTCCTATGACATATTGAGCCATACACCAAGGATCCTGTAGTCAGCCTCTCAAGTGAAATATTTGGAAATGCAGCAAATGTACACTACACTCCTTTCTATGCTCTTGGCTGTAACATACTCTATTCTTTGGGGGGAAATGAGCCTAATTAGGCTCAATGGAACAAGAAATGGTACTTGCCACCCTGCATTTAAGCTTGGTTTGCCAAGATGTGATTAGACAACATCCATCACAAGGTGGTTAAGTCCTGCCCTTTATTGTATTTCTTTGTTATTAGCTAGTACAGTAGAGGTGCTGGTGGGTTCAATGAAGTATAGTTAGGTATGAGACATACCCAAGCTGCTGGTGAGCCTTAGTGCACTGCAGTTTCAGTGACTAGTCTCTATGAGTGACACTCTTCCTAGTTATTGTTACCATGGCTACTACGCAAAAGTAAAGCTTTATATCCAATCATTTCAGTCGTGGACAAATAACTTTGGATTTATTCTGCAGAACAGTCATTCATACTGTGAGCTCCTACAAGATTGTCGTGTGCACCACACAGTGTTTAATTATGATTTGAGCTTCAACAGGCTATAGAGTGCTGAAAAACTAATAGTTGGCACACAAAGAAGAAGAAGAAGAAGAAGTAGAAGAAGAAGAAGAAGAAGAAGTAGAAGAAGTAGTTAAAAACAAAAATGCATCAATTTTAGAATTACACACTATGTTCAAACCCCTGGTCTAATATCGAAACCCACCTACAATGTGCTATGATCAGAAATGGATAGCCTAAATCCTAAAGAGATGTGACTCAAGTAAATATTATGGCCTATACACCTTCAGCATTAAAAAAAACAAACTTCTCCATACACATTCTCGCGAAATACATGTGAATATACGTGTTTTCTAGCTTTTGGCTGAACACTTTAGGCTCACATGCCTAGGTAGTCAGAAAATCCTTGGGATGCAAGAAATTGTATGGGAAGAAGAGAAGAGAAGAGAAGAGAAGAGAAGAGAGAAGAGAGAAGAGAGAAGAGAGAAGAGAAAAGAGAGAAGAGAAAAGAGAAAAGAGAAAAGAGAAAAGAGAAAAGAGAAAAGAGAAAAGAGAAAAGAGAAAAGAGAAAAGAGAAAAGAGAAAAGAGAAAAGAGAAAAGAGAAGAGAGAAGAGAGAAGAGAGAAGAGAGAAGAGAGAAGAGAGAAGAGAGAAGAGAGAAGAGAGAAGAGAGAAGAGAGAAGAGAGAAAGAGAGAAAAGAGAAGAGAGAAGAGAGAAGAGAGAAGAGAGAAGAGAGAAGAGAGAAGAGAGAAGAGAGAAGAGAAAAGAAAAGAAAAGAAAAGAGAGAAGAGAAAAGAAAAGAGAAAAGAAAAGAGAGAAAGAAAAGAAAAGAAAAGAAAAGAAAAGAAAGAAAAGAAAAGAAAAGAAAAGAGAAAGAAAGAAAAGAAAAGAAAAGAAAAGAAAAGAAAAGAAAAGAAAAGAAAAGAAAAAGAAAAAAGAAAAAGGAAAAGGAAACAAACCTGGGGCTTCCCCTCCACACCTACATCCAATAGCCATATTTCCCTATCAGGAGCTCTGCCCCTAGATCCCATCTGAACATAATTGACTTGCTCTCCACACAGCATTTGAAGTGACCTATTTTCTTAACCCATATCTGCTGGGCCATGCCTATAACCAACTTAACAAACTGACTCATCATGCTGGGTACGGCTATAGGCATCAATAGAGCGTTAGAGTAAAAACTTCCCTTACATATAGTGGACTCTTGGGCCAAATGGCCATTAGCATGAGAGAGCATGAAAATTACCAGGGAAATTGTGGGCTAAAATATGAGTAATATACAGTTCTTTAAAAATATACCCAGAATAAATCACTATACTGTCTACTGCACCCACCCTCCTGCCCCAGGAAGACATATTCCTCATGTATTCATGGCAGTATGGAGCACATGACTGGCATGCAGGAGCGTCAATTGCCGAGTTTGTCCTACATTCTATCCTGTCATACGTATGTGGTGGATAAATTTTTGTCCATGGCAAGGGTTGGGGGGCAGCAGCAATCACAGACCCCAACATTTCACTATATATTATCCAATGCCCTGCATGTCATTTATATTTTACCTTGTAATTTACTGGTACCTTCCATGCCCTTCTTTGCTATTGGGGCATAATTTCCATAGATTTGGGTACTAAAGTGAAAGGAAACCAAGGCCAATATTGTGATTGGTCATGTGAAGGTGTTCTTAATATTTATCATAGGTTTTCCCCTTCTTTATGGTAGTGTTATTAGATTTTCCTTTAAGTGCATACCAAAGTATTAAGTGTTGCATAACTTTATTAAAATCAAGTTGCAAGGGAAATACCATGATAAAAAGTCTTAATATCTACCACTGTATCCATTACAAGCAAAGTTTACTTTGTGCCGAACCAAATTATACCAGAGGTTGATCTTGAAATAAGAAAAGAAAGAAAAAATCGAAGCTCAATCCGTCTCCCTGACAATGTTTATATCATGCAGATTTGTTCTCGTGTGATGAGAAACGAATCTGATTGATATTCTCCGTCGGATTCTCCAGCCGACAATCTTGATGGTTTCATTAAGGCCCGATAGCAAGGGGAGGGAATGAAGTAGATCAGGGGAAATTACGGGGTAAAAAACAGGGCTGAAAATAAGCAAAATAGAGAGCAGAAAGTGGTTAAAAAAAGGACAAAAAACGCTTAAAATCGGATTAAGTAAACTCTTACGGAACATCGCCGCCATCTTCAAAGTCTACGGACCGACGCCGCCAACTTTCGAAAAACTCTACGGGAAACCAAAAACCCACGTTCGGGAAAAATTACGGGATTTCAAATCCAGATCCCCTGTGGTAATCGTTACCAATGCGTCAACCAACAAAACCCAACCTAACATAACCTAACCTAACCTAGCCTGCCTAGCCCTGTGGGATTTATACCACACGATCTATACATTCCCTAGCCAGGGGGCTCTGCCCCTGGACCACCATGGTATTACAATGCGCCTCTCTGCCAGGGGGCTACGCCCCCCTGGGGGGACCCCCCGTAGTCTTTAGTAATATACAACATACCTTTATAAAACGAAAAAAACCGAACTAGTGTGCGCTGCCGTCCATGGACAGAATTGTTGGTTTCTAATCACTTTTTTTTGGCATTGGGGCACTGGTTGGGCTCCAAATTTCAGGTTGTGATTGAGATAATGTCTATTTTGTCCTTACATCACCAATATAGTTTTAAAAATAACCGATGTCGACCCAGCACTGAAATGAACATTTTTGCACCGGTTGGTTCTGAGCGAATGGCGGTGTGGGTGACCGTCAAATCTCCCGGTGAATAAAAGCGCATGCGCAAAAGGTTATTGTATAGAAAACGTAAAATAATTAGCCAAAAGACGCAAGAGAAAGTATATTAAAACTAAAGGAAGATGCATTAAATACAGGAATTCAGGAGAATACAGACGCTAGTTAGTAATGACTCAATCCTACCTGAAGGATATGGTAGTTCTAATTCTATATCACTAAATCTATTCAAATATCTGAATTGTCATGACTGGGCCTGCCCTTCAGACACTGCCTGTAAGGAGGGTTAATACGGACTTTCACCACAGATTGTGTATCAATTCAAGATGATGAAACTAGGTAGTAATAAATGCTTTCAGGAGATGAAGTCCATGGCACTCAGAAGGGCGCAAAAGGTTGGAGCTTTCAACTAGGGAAATACAGCAACAAGGCCAACTCACACCCTGGACAATAAAGAATCCACAATGTACGTATGGCAGGATAGAGTACAGACAAACTTGGCATCGGATGCTCCTATATATCAGTCATACACTATCTTATAACGATTTATTCCATATACATTATTACTTGAGTGAAGTATTTTGTGTATATTATTCATGTTTTACCCCACAATTTCCCTGGTACCTTTCATGCCCTCCCTTGCTATCAGGGCCAAAAATGTAAGGGTTTGGGGTGGTTCCACAGCATAATTCCAATTAATCTATGTACTAGTTGGAGAGAGAATCTATTCACACCAAAATCATCATGTTTGGTTATACGAAGGTATACTGACAATTACTGGTGATTTTAGTGGATTCCTAGGAGCACCCTCAAGCATAGTAGGGTCTAAAATGGGTGTGGCTGCTTCATAAATAATTACCAAAACATTGGTAGTTTGGCTAATGTTACTGAGACCAACACCGAGTAATAAACATAACAGGTAAAGCTGCTCTAACCTCATGTTTACAATGAAATGGAAAAAATATCCACTGCATATCATCGCTCGTATACAAAGTCCACAACATTCTCACAGTTCTTAATGTCACGGTTTCTGTAAGTTGGCAGAAAGTACTAATAAAGGGAATAAATAGAAAGTAGTTATGATTAGGTTTGGATTTTTGGGTTTGCACAACACCCTACTTTTGGGACTTTTGTTTCTTGAGGATGTGTTGCCTATGACCTGAAAATCTAACAATGGCAAAGGCTAAGAAATGCCTCATGCATATGATGGTATGATAAGAGCCCGGACTGACCAACAGACCACTTAAACTGACCCCCTTTAAGGATTGACTCATTGTAGGCCTATCGTCATAGATTACTGCAAATTTCTGAGTGAAACCGAACTAAACACAGTCAATTAGCAGAGAAAATACATATTCTGAGAATTACAGCGGGTTAATTTAGGATTTACAATGATGTCGCCGGGAAGGACCTCCTATAAATAATCATCTCCGACGATGACGCAATACCACAGAACCATCACCCAGCCCTTCACATGCGACTACTTCTATTACAGGAGGCTCCGATACTTTAAAGTAAGCTAAAATTACATAACCTTATCCTTCCAAGGGCCTTTTCCTCTTAACACAACACCTCTCCCAAAGGATCAGCTGATCGCCCTCCCGGCTCATCTACCCCGATAGAGGGTCGCCCAGCTTACCAAAGTGCTAATCTTATTCTTCGGTGGTCCAGAGATGACATTAGTTCTCTTCGCCATCACCATGGTGTTGCTGGCCTGTGCGATCCTGCTTACGGCATTCCTAGCGGCGAACATCTTGGCGGAGGAGGAAAGTGTGTCTCTCTCGGGGTCTCCCTGTGGAAAATGGCGGAGGTGGAGGCCGGACTGGGGCGGCGGTTCTCCCTCCTGGTTCTTTCCTCTTTTTTGTGGGTAATGCAACACAGGAACTCTTTCTGTTGTCACAAAAGATCTTGATGTATTTCTGAGTTGGAAATTGTATGATTTTGGAAGTAAAGATCGACGAGAGTTTGACTATAGAAGGAATTACGATTTGGTTATAGATGTTCGATTACAAGCAACACACATGGGCTTTGCCTGCATTTTATATACTTTCTAGGGATGAAATAACCGATCATAAGATAAGTATCTATGTTAATGCTATGGTGACTATTAAAAATATAATTTCGAATCCCTCTTATGTATTTTTTCCCCCTAAGTATCGAGTTCGCCTCCTAATTACAGGGTTGAATAGAGGCCAACATTTCGGACACGTTATTGAATAGTTTTCTGTGGACTGTTGTTGTCGATGCAGGACATGTCAGGCGAGTCCAGCTTCATGAAGTGTTTTCGCACAGTTGGGTGAGTCTTTAGGCGTTTTGAATGAGTGGAAAGAGAAGAAAGAGTATCGAAGATATATATTATGGAGGAAAAAAGGCGACATTCGGCCTCAAAGGGGGAAAATAGACTTATGTTTACACTGCGACTGTTTGAGGGGGCGTTCAACCTGATCCGAGAGTCCGCCATCGAAAGGATATTTTTCCCTTATTTTAGAGCCAATTTTGCTCTTCTCTCTGTTTCGATAGAAGTAATATGTCCCGGCGTTTCTGATAATCCGTAATTATGGTCTCTGAATGGTCTTTTTGGAAGGAGAATGTGGAAATAAAGAGTGGCAGGTTGTGTGTGGATTAGCATGTTCTTCCAGTAGTCAAGTTAAAGGCATTTGGGTTTGAAAACAATTTACTCGGAATATTGATCTTTAGGCGTTAATTCTCATTGATACAACTATTAATTAACTTCTTTGCTGGGAGAAAGACCCAGAAGATAGTCAGGTAGGATATATTCTTGGGCATTGCCTCCAGAAAGCAAAACAGAAAATGAATTAGTACTTTAAAGAAAGGATTGGAAATGTAAATCTTTTATTCAAAGATATGTTGAATTTACACTTGTTATGATAGAAACATTCATATTGTTACAAAATTAGTAGTTAAAGCTGAGATTGAGTAGGTGAAAGCGTCTAAATATTAGAATATGTATGCTTTTTTATTCTTAATTCTAAAAAAAAAAAATTGTAGAAGTGATGCCAGAATATAGGAATGGTCTGGTAAGGGGATTAACATGCGTAAGGGAAAACACTTTGTTTATGTGTTAGGTTTCAAATATTGTGAGTATATGTTGATAAACGAAGTAGTTCTTGGATGCCACAACTGCTCTGTATTGTAAAGTTTTGTATATAGTTTTATATTAATGGTATGGAAAAGCATGAATATCATTGAAACTATGTTCTGGAAATAATTATTTTCGTTATTATATCAAAGCTATTATTTGTAGTGGGATGGGAAAGTAGTAAGCTCATGCAATATTATGATATAGATTGGAGCTCAAAGTATTTTTGCTCAAAAATTTGGATGTACAGATTAAGTATCCTTTCATTCTTTTCAACTTTTATTTAATTTAATTACCAATCATTGTAAAAAACACCTTACTTTAAAGTGAAACCCAATGAATATTCTTTTATAAATTCTTTATAACGACCAACTGCTATAAACAATGGGGATAATGCCATACTGCATCAGGAATGAGGATTGTGTTTCAACAGAATCTTCCCGTGGGTTGCAGTTTTTACATTGCACCTTAATGTGTTACGTTAGAAAAAAAGGTAAATTAAATAAGAGGGAAGTGGAGTAGGTGACATTACCATAGCATAAATAGAGATTCAAATTTAGGGTGAAAATGTTGGTGCAAACATGATTGTTGAGAGATATCAGGCAGCTCTATGGTTTTCCATCTTTAGTCTTTATATATTGCTCATTTTATACAGTATTGATATATGAACTATAATTCAGTAGAATTTCATACCAAAGTAAAATTCATTGACAATTAAAAACTATAATAAGTTTCATTTCTTTCATAAAAGGTACATGTACACTCAAAATGTTAAAACCACCTGCCTATATTTGAACAATTTATGTATATTTTTAAAAATCTGTCTATTATTATCCATGCAAAGCAAGATATTCAATGTGATTTTGAAAGAATGCTTTTATATGCAAATGACAAGAGTAGACTACTTTACATTAATTTGAGAAAGAAACAAAATGCATAACAAAAATAGATAATTAAAAGTACAATTCTCTCATTGTTTATTAGTTACATTATACACTGTGAAAGGTAAAGAAATATAGTAATATGGGAATAAAATAAGTGTATCATTATTGTGATATGAATATTTATGAGAATGTTGATGTAAATATGGTTTCTGTTTATGGATTCAGTTATCTAGTTATTCATAATAAATATTAATATTCCAAATTATCAAGAAAAATAATTATTTTAAAGGCTTTCTTTAACCAGATCTACTATAGTTGGCTTATTGAAAGTCACAGATTTATACTGTAAATTACTGTATTCACAACAAATTAGATATATACAGATCAATGGCTTATTGAAGCATGATAGTAGTGTGTTAAATCAAATTTGGGAAGTTAAGATTCATGCCCCTAACTGTAAATGTTGATGGCTTATAAAGATTAGGTATATAGATATAGCTATAGATACTGAGGTAGACAGTCAGTCGTTCATTCACATTAAAAGAATTTCAAGGGTGGAAAGTGGGAAAAGTTGTACTTTCAGTGGGTTGTTTCCAAGATCAGACATAAAGTTAATGAATCATGTAATTATTGTCAAATAGCTTGGAATAGTGTAATCATAGAATCCTAAATGGATGTGATCCAAAATTGAAATATAAGTTTTGAGGAAAGGAATTTTTATATTTAACTAGGAGTATTGGTATGGAGTGTAGTAGCCAAATGGTTAGAGAACTTTTTCAATCTATGTTATCACCATCATCAAAATCATTGTCATTGTCATTGTCATTGTTGTTGTTGTTGTTGTTGTCATTGTTGTTGTTATTATTATTATTGTTATTGTTATTATTATTGTTATTGTTATTATTATTATTATTGTTGTTGTTATTGTAATTATTGTTGTTATTATTATTATTATTATTATTATTATCATTATTATTATTATTATCATTATTATTATTATTATTATTATTATTATTATTATTATTATTATTACTAATATTATTTTGTTATTGTTAATATTATTATTATTATTATTATTATTATTATTATTATTATTATTATTATTGTTATTGTTATTTTATTTTTGTTTCTTTGTTATTGCTGTTGTTATTAATATTTTATTTTATTGTTTTGTTTCAGTTAGTTTCATTTCATTTTGTTATTGATCTTAATTTTGTTATTCATGTTGAGTTTGTTATTGCCATTTTTATGTATATTATTTTTGTCATCAATATTTTTGGTATTGATGTTGATTTTGTTATTATTTTTGTTATTGATATTATTTTGTTATTGTTATTATTTTTGTTATTGATATTATTTTGTTATTGTTATTATTTTTATGATATTTTATTATTATTTTTATGATATTTTGTCATTGTTATTACTTTTGTCATTATTGTTATTATTATCATTATTATTATTATTATTATTATTATTATTATTATTATTATTATTGTTATTGCTATATTATAATAATTATTATTATAATTAGAGTAATAGTAATTATTATTATTACTATATTATTATTATTATTATTATTATTGTTGTTGTTCTTATATTTATTATTATAATAATAATTATAATAATCATGACAATAATAGTAATAGTTATATAATAATGATGTTATTATTGTTATTATCATTATCATTATCATTATCATTCGTGTTGTTTCTTCTTCTTATTATTAGTGTTGTTTCTTCTTATTATTATTAGTGTTGTCGTTATTACTGTTATCACCATCATCATAATCACTATTATTGTCATTATTATTATTTTTGTTATCATTGATATTGATAATATTGATTATTGTTGATATAATTAGTATTGTTGTTGTTGTTATGATTATTATTGTTATAATTGTTATTGTTGATATTAGTATTACTATTGGTATTGATATTGTTTTAATTATCATATAATTACCATTCCATTTTTCATTATTATTGCTGTTATTATTACTGCTTTTGTTGTTGTTGGTGGTATCATCATCATGGTTCATATTATTTTGATATACCATACTCAGCCATAGCCATAGTCATATTAATGACAATAAAAACAGTAATAAGTGTTGGCAATGAATAATACAAAAACAATAGCATCATTATTTCTGTGTTGTTTTCATTATTAGGGCTGTTATTATTATTATTATTATTATTATTATTATTATTATTATTATTATTATTATTATTATTATTATTATTATTATTATTATTATTATTATTACTATTACTATTACTATTATTGTCATTGTTATTATCATTATTATTATTGTCATTATCATCATCATTATCATCACTATCAGTATCAACACTATTAGTATCATCATCACTATCAGTGTCATCACTACCAGTATCATCATCATCATGAATATCATCAGTATCATCATCAGTTTTGTTTTTATTATCATTGTTATTATAATTGCTTTAATTATTGAAATTATTATTAGAATTATTATGATTATTATTATTGGATTATGATTATTGTAATTATGATTTTGATTATGATGATTATAATGATAATAATAATTATTATTGTTGTTGTTAATACACTATTATTATGATGTTTATTTTATTATTATATTTTTTTGCTGTTGCTCTTATTATTATCTTTGTTGTCATTATTGTTATTATTATTGTTATTGTTATTATTGTTTTATTATTATTATTATTGTTGTTGTTATTGTTATTATCATCATCATCATCATCATTATTGCAGTTATTATAATTCCTAATATTAACTGTATTAATGTTGTTATTATTATTATTATTATTATTGTTATTATTATTATTATTATTATTATTATTATTATTATTGCTATTATTATTATTATTATTATTATTATTATTATTATTATTATTATTATTATCATTATTATCATTAGCCTGTTATTATTATTGTTGATATTTTTATGTAGTTGTTTTATTATTGATAATGTTATTG